GTCAATCACTTTTACCAATTTTTTTTAATCCTTAAAAAGTTAGTAAAAAAATTTTCTACTATATTTTATTTCCACGGCTCTACCTATAGGACTCCAAGATAAGGTTAATTTTAGTCTTATCTATAAGAGATAAGGTTAATTTTAGTCTTATCTATAAGACACTTTATTATTTTTTTTATATTCATTTTTATTTTTATGCCCTTATTAAATGCTAAAAAAATATATTATCTTTATTAGCTGTAAAAATGAAAACTTATTAAATTTTAGGGAAAATTATGTTAAAATCTCACACAAAAAAATAATTATTATAAGATTTATTAATAATTGAATTAAGGTCATTAACAACATTTTAGTTTAGTATTATTAATGAACTTTGTAATAATTAATTTTCTTATGTGAGACATATATATAATTTTTTTTAAATTTTAACATAATGTTATTGAAATTTATGATTTTCTTTGATTTTGATAAAATATATTTAAAATAGTTAATAAATAGAATAAGTGAGAATAGATAGAGTAAGTAGCATGTTGACATAAAATTAATGCCTCCGCCTCACTAAATAGCCTCTAGCACGCCAACCACCGATAGTGGTTTCGTGGGGAAACTGATTCATAAATGTCCCACTCACACTAATAAAAGTAAAACTGGTAGATATTTCAACGAAGAACGAAAGTCCAACAAGTAGGTTTTAATGACACAACATCGATAGTGCTGTCCACACCACACTGGATAATACCCTCACTGCTCCCTCACTTTCTTTAAAATTATATGATATTTTTAATTGAATTTGTTACATCTCTAATGAGTTTATTAATTGCTTTTAAAATTAGATATTATTGATATGTTTACCTTTATTTAATAAGGTATCTCAATTTAAAAACCTTATTAATTAAACTTTCAATTTAACAGTATTTTTAAAAAAAGCACATTGCTTCCATCTTGAAAGATCTAAAATACATTATATTTGTGAGAAAATGACGATGAAGAAAACCTTTCTATAAAACATTGTTTCACTTGAAAGATTACAAATTAAATTAACACATTTGGATAATGAACAAACCTCATTTAGAGATTAACTATGAGATGAGAATTATGTGAAGCTCCATCTCTTAGGTGAGATTTAACCAACTTACCTAGATGCCTAATCCTTATCACTCCATATAGATTTAGGCTGACAATTAATCATAATTAACAACTAATTTTTCAATAAATCTTATCTTAAAAAAAAAAGAAAAAAAAAGAATGACAGTTGGATATCAAAAGAATGAATTAACAACAGTTAAGTTTTTGATAAAAATTTAAGCTAATAGTTAGAGAAATTTCATTTGAAGATGAGTCATCCCACTTAAGCTCATTAAATTGACTATTTTAGCCCCAAGACTGGTAGTTCGATACTGTAGCTCATCTGAAAATGCTTTCGACCTCACGTGCCTTATAAATTTGTCTGTTACCCTCCTTCCTATGTACATTTTTGTAAGAAATAAATAAGATTCTTTTTTGTCTAAATAAAAGAATAATTATCCATTATTCCTTGAATTTATTAAAAATGTACTTTATTATTTTACCCAAAAAAAATGTCCTTTATTATCTCATTAAGTTAGCACCATCAAGCAATCATTAAGGACATTGTTTTAAAAAAATCTCAAACATTTTTATTTTTATTATTCTTAATTTGTGTGAAAAAGGTTATTTGTTTCTTATAAAAATGTTCAAAGGGAGTAATTTTTATAATTTATATTATAAAAGTCATAAGTTCTTTTATTAACTAAACACTTTTTTATGTATTGCGTGGAATATAATATATTGTTTGTGATTTATAAATAATATAATTTATATTTTATACTGCCATTGATTTGTGATGCACTGCTAGGTAGGAGGGCTAGGACCGCCGTACCAGCCAAATTGGTCCAATCCTAATATCTAATATTTGAAAGTTATTTTCACCTAAGTTTATATAAACTTTTTTTTATATCAGAGAATAACTATACAATAATTTATATGATATTTAAACTTTTTCACTTTGTAATTCATAATTTTACACAAAATAGTACCACCACCTAAAAATCTAGCTAGGCCCAATTATAATCCTCATTTAGTCTGCTCAAGTGGGGTCCAAACACTGAATTGGACCAGTGTCCACACATCTTTTTTTTTTTTTTTGGGTTTCCTTCTAAATAATTTATGTGAAATAATGTCTTGGGACAGAAAATTAACTAATAAAAGTATTTAGCTTTTGTTTTATGTGATTCCTTATATTTGAAACAGGAGAGACAAATAAAAAGGTGTGTACAATATTGGTGAATGAGAGCCTTTGTGGCACTACCATTGCCTATGTCTTTACAACTGCTTCAAGTGTCAGGTTTGTTCCTTTTTCTTATTTAATCATTAGTAATTACTAATTACTGCCCCTTTTTACTTTTATTTTCAGTGTTTGATATTTGTTTATAATGCAAGTTTTGAGTATTTTTTTTAAGAAAAATTAACAAGCTTAATAATAAGGTCAAATAATGCCTAGTTTGATGATTAGTCTAATCTACCCCTAATTTCTGCAAATTAATACTCCAAGTAAAATAATTGTGTTCATGCACTTTCTTTCCTGTCAAATTATAAGAATTTAGGAAAACAAAGATATAATAATAATTTTTTGAATTTTAATTTCTATTTTCTAAAAAGGTCAATTAAAAAAACATTTACAACTTCACCAAGACTTGCAAGGAGCGTTCCCCTCAAGTCCACTCTATAATTAGGCTTCCAAATTAGTTTTCATGCCTCAAGAGAGATAAATATAAATTATTGAATTAGAGAGTTGATAATTAAATAATATAAATCATTGAAGGTCGGTTCCCTTTATCACAATATAATCTCATATCTTCAAAGAGTACCAGTTCATATTACCTCATTAGTAGATAATTTGTAGATATTTTTATAAGTTTTCTTTAATAATGAATCCCATCATGATTTAAGTGAATTTTTGAAATTCAACTTATCTTTTTTTATAAGAAAATTCAACTAAGACACTTACATAAGATATTTAATAAGAGTATAATTAAAAAGATATAATTTTTTTAAAATGTTAAAATTTCACTTAACTTTTTTTTATAAAAAAAACTGTACTCATATTTTATATTGTGATTTGGAGGGAATATGTTGGAATCTCATTCATAATGTGATAGGTTTACTGATAAATAATTTGTAAATACATCTATTACAGCATTTATGGTGGTTTTTTTTTAAAAAAATTACAAGTTGAAAAGCATATGGATTGAAATTATTGGGCTTTATTCTCTTGTGTGGAAAGCACGCAAATAGGCGTAAAGTGTAAACAAGGAAAATGGTTATGTAATCACTTGTTCCAAACCGATTGATAACGACATGGGCCGAAGTTTTAAAATTGATAATGTATGTGGGCCAACGGGCCCATGTATAAAATTTTAAATAACTTTAACACTTTTTTTGTGTGTTGTTAATTGAAAAAATGTTTAGAAAAATTTGTTTCAAAATAAAGAATGACCTCACTTTAACTTTGAACTAATTTTTTTAATCAAATTTATCAAATGAATTTAAAAAATATATAATTCAGTTATTGGAGAGTAGTTTACAAATATTAAAAATAAACTAAATTATATGTTAACCTTTTGTTAAAATATGTTGTGTATGGAAACAAAACCTTCAATGTTAAAAAAAAAAAAAGAAAAGAAAACTTTCACATTATATAAAAAAGGACTTGTGCATCATTTGAAAATTAAAAAATGGGATAATTTTATCAAAACTTAAAGTGGTTCTTGTACCATTTGTAATTTACTCTAACTGGTTTTTGAAATTTAATATTATAAAAATAAATATGTACAATAATTAACAACAACAACAACGACAATGAAATGTGAATGAGAAACGTAAGACTATTTAAGAAATGCTTAAAAGTCAATGAGATCTTTCAATGTCACTTAAAGAATCAAAGTTAGGCGTGCCCATATGAGAGCCCTCGTGTTATCGAGATTTTGTCTGCTTCCTAAAATAGTTTTTGTAAAATAAAATAAAAATAAGTATTAAATATTTAAATAAGTACTTTTGGCGCAATATTTTTCTGCGATTTTTATCATATGATACAATGAAACGAATGATCATTTAATTTTTTGCTGTTAATTATGTGAAATTGATGTAATAATATTTCAAAAAAAATCAAATAATCATATTAATCATGATATAAACATATAATTTTCAATCTTTTAAGAAATATTTTATATGAATATTTCATAAAAGTATCATAATATTCAATCTAGTAATTTAATTTCTTTTAAATGTGAAAAATTTTTTAGAATACCAATAATAAAAAATTTTCAATGAGAAAAATTATTTTAAATAATAAAAGAATAAAAAATAAATTTATATTTCAAAATTACATCTAAATTTTTATTTTGTTTGACTAAGGTGTTATGAAGAACCGAACGTTGGCTTGTGTATTGCATTTAGCATGAAAAATAATCCACACAAATTATGGTTAATGAATATTATATTTTCATATAGATTTTAAATATATACCAATAATATTTCACATGACCTATGCCATGGTAGACGTCTTCTTTTTTATGCAACACCACAGGTAAGAGCATTTTATTGTCATTTCTTAGTCTTTCACACAGTGAACGACACTCATCTAATCTAATAAAATAATAAAAATAAAATATTTAAAATCTGAACTATCAAATACAAACAATTCAACTGGGATAAATTTTGAAATTATACGGAGAAAAAAATAATAAATTCCACATTGAGAATAGCATAAAAAGGAAGAAACATGTCCTCTTTAAGAGTAATTGACACAGCCAAATATAGAAAGTGAGTCAAGTGACTAGTTTCACCAACAGGTGTATGTTGATGTGAAACTTATAGGCATTATTAGGTAATGATATTTGGTGAAAAAATATTTTTTTTAAAAAGGAAATGAGAAATTTACCTATTCAATTTTTTTTCAAGGAAATATTTTTCAGTATACTAAACATGTAGTTGGGTGGTGATGATTTGATTGAAACCAAACCACTCGCCGTATGGCTTCGACACTTTTGAAGATCATGTTTCTGATTTTTTTCTTTTATATATATATATAAAACCAAAAAATTAGGTAAGGTTATTTGTATTCTGTACAGAATGAAAAAAAAAAAAAAAGAGTTGTATTGTGGATAACTTTTAAACAATGTTCATAGTAATGTTTGTAATAATTCATAAAATTTTGATTTATTGGGGACATTGTCTTGTGTTAGCCGTGGATGTAGAAAATTTCAGAGACAAGTCTTACTGCTCCTCTTGACAAGTCAAACCTACTCTTCCTAATGCAGCACAACTATTTAATTATGACTAAAATTAGAATTTAGACAGCAACAAGTGTTGGTCCAGATGTTAAGAATTTGATCAATAATCTACAAGATTGTGAGATCAAATCTTAATAAATTTATGCTGGGTGATTTGCAGAGGCATATCTTAGTTTTTGTGAACCAGCTCACCAAAATTTTCTGCTGCTAAAAAAAATTAGAACTTAGGCTCATTGGTTAAAATTGAAGTTGGCCCACATTATTTATGACTTGAGAATAAACTTATAATTAACGCACCTCATTTCTTAGACTTTATATAATATTTGCTCACACTAGTTCATATAAATGATAATGTAGATGATTAATATTGATTGAGTGGAGTGGAACGGACTCGATTCTCTTTAAGTCATGCGTTTGAATATTGTGGTTTAGATCTGATAATGTTTAAGTATGATTGAATAGTATGGAATAACAATGAACACATTGAGTATACAAAAAATGAGATCAGCACCACCAACAGGCATTAGTCCTAATATAAGGGACTATGATCGCTTAAAACGAGGTCTCGAATTTGAGTACATATGAATAAGAAAACAGCTAAAAAAGAATGAGATCAGCACCAAATCCAACCGTTTGGCCTCATCCCTTCAATGTTCTGTCAGTATTCTTACTTCACCTGAGAGATTTCATCATTCAAAATTCAACTTGCCTCTTTTGTTTCTCTCTGCGTTGCAAAAGTTGAATATCTCATTGTGCCTTGAAAAGCTCAATGACCATAAACAGCCGCTTTCTCTATCACATGCTCATTTAAACTACCTTCCTGCTTCTCTCTCTCTCTCTCTCTCTCTGCGCCTACCCTCTTTGAATGTGACTGTTCTAAATATTAGTCTAATATAATTTTCTTAAGTATATTCACAATCTCTGTGTCACACTTTTTGCTTCACTCAGTTTAAGTCATGTTTGGCACGAAGGAGCCATTTTTGACGAAAATGATAAGAGAGAGGGAGAGGGAGAGGGAGAGGGTTCCCTACTTCCTTCATTAGAATTATAATTATTGTGTACCAAACAATTAAGAATTTAAGATAGAGATTTCTCTCTCCTTGTACCCCTTTCTTGAATCTTCCTTCACTCATACGAAACATGACCTAAGGAGAATTAAAAAAGGAAATCTTCAACCAGAGGTGAGGACTCTATTTTTTATTTATTTCATGGCACAGAGAGGTCTGCACAATGCAAGCCAAGTGTTTAGTTCTCCCATACACAGATAACATTTTTAAATCAGTTCAAGCAGCATCAGTATCAGCATAGTTTGTCTTCTTAAATACAGTCACCTCAGGCCATTATATGAACCTCAGACATAGTAGCTATCTTCTTCTCCATTGGCTTCCACTGAGTTCTACACAGACATGGCAGTCCAAAACTCTCTCCAAATAACTTCTTCTTGTGCTTATGATGATGATGGACGTGCCAAAAGAACTGGTATAAACATCTCAACCCCACCACAATACCATATACAACACAATCCATGTTTCTGTACACTTTGAGATTTATTCATTCCCTTCATTAATCTCTTCCTCAGGAACTTTGTGGAGTGCTGCGTCTCATATCATTACTGCTATTATTGGTTCTGGTGTTTTGTCTCTGGCTTGGAGTGCTTCTCTGTTGGGTTGGATTGCAGGGCCTCTTTCCTTGCTTTTCTTTGCTATTGTCACCTACATCTTTTCCTCCCTCCTTTCTGATTGTTACAGAACTCTAGATCCTGTTTCTGGCAAGAGAAACTACTCTTATAGGGATGCTGTTAGAACCTATCTTGGTAGTCACTCTCCTTGGTTTTTTTTTTCATTAAAATAATTGTTAGCAGCGTTTAAGATTGGACAGAACTGTTTGAACTCATTCATATCTATTAAAATTGATGAAAGTTAAGCCAAAATCAACTTTAGACATGTCAAAGTTGATTTGGTTATCAGCTTAGTTTGGTTTGGTTCCATTCAAATTGAACCAATAATGACATTTCCTTCGTCACAATGGAATTGAAGAAGGTTTTGAACCAACAATAGTATGATATTGTTGGTTTTTTAAATTTTCTTTAAACCAGTGTAATGTTTCAGATGTGGGTCCAGTGCTTTGCATAAAGTCTAAAGTGAGTTGAACTATTCATGGTTTATTAATAATGTAACTTTTTATAGAATTGATATAATATATTGATTGGTTTAAAATGAAACTAAACATGTAATCACTCCTAAGAACCATAGGGTAATACCGTGAGGAAAAATCAACACAGGAAGCACGAAACAACAGGATAAGACTCTCTTGTTCTTAGCAAGAGGACATCCAATCATGCAAGATTCAGCAGGATTTACTGGAACAAACTATCATGTCATGATTTGAACAAGTCTATCAGTTTTGTATAGATGGATTTCTGGCTTCTCATTGTTGTGAAACTGAGGGTATGCTTCTTCTTGGCAATCTCTATCTATTTTAAACCTTCTGATTGAGTTTAGTGTTAGTTCAGGCCAAAAACGTACATGGTTGGCTGGTTTCCTTCAATATTTGAACTTGTATGGGACTAGTATCGCTTACGTTATTACCACAGCAACCTGTCTGAGGTACATTCCTCTTTTGAAAAACAAAATTACACCAATTCCTATGCTAATTGCAGTGTCTGTGAACTGACAAGTCATTGCTTATTTTCTTTGCTTGCTAAGCCATTGATAGAAACTTTAACTTGAACCTTATTCAAATATGTTCATGTTCATGTTCATTGCAATAATGCAGGGCAATTCTGAAGTCAAACTGTTATCACAAGTATGGACACAAAGCTCCTTGTCACTATGGAGAAACCTTGTTCATGGTGCTGTTTGGAGTTGTTCAGTTCTTTATGTCATTCATACCAGATCTTCATACTATGGCATGGGTTTCAGTTGTTGCTGCAATTATGTCATTTTCATATTCTTTTATTGGGCTAGGACTTGGCATTGCAAAAGTTATTGGTAAGATTCTTCTTTTCTTCCATCTTTTGTCTGTTTAAGACTCAAGATCCAGCTTACTTGACATCAATCAATATTTCAATGTGTGTGTGTGTGTGTGTGTGTGTGTGTAGCAAATTTTACTATTCACAAGCCAACTCATTGCTCATATTTTGTCTAATGCATGGGAAACTATGTTTAGTTAGGGAAAAAAAAAACAAAGTTGAAGGTGTTGAAAATATCTCAATAATTAAATGAATAATCAGAGTTGAGTTTAATGAGCACACCTGCAAATCTATTGTTCTGGAGAAAATATGAACTTAAGTGAGGATCTTGATTGCCTTCAGAGTGGGCAGACTCACAACCCACTAGATCCCTTAGCTTACAAAGACAAAAGATGTGAGAGTACAATGAAGAAGATGGAGAGAATGAGTCTGTCAAAGATTGTGAGATGTTGAACCTATTGAAGATGAGGTTAGCTACCACTTAAATATAATCAATTCATTAATTAATTCTCCCATAAGCTCTTTGACTCAGTCAGCTTTGTGATAGAGATAAAACTGACAGTTAAGTGGTTGTAGGTTGAGCCTCTACCCAATAGACTCACTTGTGTGGTCCGCCTATCATAGAAGAAATAAACCTTTATAGTTCTAATTTCTTCCAAATCATGCTATGATGTTCTGATAATGCAATAGTATGTGCCAAAATGGGTTAAATCTCTGGTATAAAGGTGATTTCTGGCTTGTCTGTAGTGATTATATGTGTCATAACAAAGTATTACACACTAAGTAATGTTGTTGACTGAATGAGAAGAGTTGTGTTTACACATAAAATTGCAGAAAATGGGACAATTAAGGGGAGCATAACAGGAGTACCAACTAGTAATGCTGTTGAGAAACTATGGTTAGTGTTCCAAGCACTTGGTGACATTGCCTTTGCCTATCCATACTCAGTGCTTATTCTTGAAATACAAGTAAGTTTCTTATTCCAACTGGATGGTGTAGAAAATGTTACATAGTTCCAAAACTGAAGTGAAGTGTCGAACTTTGTTGAGTGAAGGATACACTGAAGTCTCCTCCACCTGAAAATCAGACCATGAAGAAGGCCTCAATGATATCAGTCTCTGTCACAACCTTCTTCTATCTTTGTTGTGGATGCTTTGGATATGCGGCATTCGGAAATGATACGCCAGGAAACCTATTGACAGGCTTTGGCTTCTACGAGCCTTACTGGCTCATCGACTTTGCAAATGCTTGTATTGTTGTTCATTTGGTGGGAGGATATCAGGTACTTGTGTTGTGAACACTTTACAGAAACCATAGTTTGTAGTCTTGATTTCTTTGAAGAATTTTTTTTTTTTCTTGGCCTGAGATTTCTCTGCAGATTTTAGTTTCTTTGTTTGCTCTTCAGAAGAAGGAATTTTTTAGCTAGAAAACAATATTCTCCATATTTGTTAGAAGAACCAACTTGAAATAGAAACAAAACAACTCCTTTTGGCAATGGCAATTTTGCAATCAGTAGTGAAAGATTTTTTTGCTTTCTTTCCAGTCTGATATAATGGTTAACAGCAAATTAAGCAAGCTCAAAATTTAATAACCAAATCAAATCTTTCACAATTATATTCAGAAACAAAGTAATAAAAATAGTGTGGTTGTTTATGGGATTCATAGCTTCTCTTTACAGCCACATCAATTCTGTCTCTCTAATTATATTCTTGCTGTCACAAAACTAATAAAAGTCAAAAAGACTAAGGTTACATTTTTAAAATAATCCTTAATTCTTTATGTGATCATATCTAAGGCAGCTAGCACCAAACTACTATCTATATGTAATGTAAAATCTATGAGAAGCCACATTATTTATAAGCCATGAATAATATCACTTACCTTAAAGTCCTTAAATGCACGAGCCCTACAGTCTAGTTTTGAGATATAACGGCTACTTAGTACTACTTCTTGATTTATTAATCAATGATCATAAGTGCTAATTTTAGACCTCATTAGAGTTCACTTAAGAGGTTAATGGAGACTGTTCATTTAGTTCTAAAAGAAAACTCTGCACATTTTCATAAAGCTGCGTAACCAAGTCATGTAATAATGTGTATTTTAGCCTATTTCTTTTCACTGTCATTATCATCTCATCACTTCTACACTCATAACTCTTCATCTTCTTCTTCTTATTGATGATGATGATCCTGTGATCAGATATACAGTCAGCCAATATTTGCAGCTGCTGATAGATGGTTTCCAAGGAGGTTCCCAGACAGTAACTTTGTGAACAAGTTTTACAGAGTGAAACTCCCTCTCCTGCCTATGTTTCAGCTGAGTCTGTTCAGGCTTTGTTTCAGAACACTGTATGTGATTTCCACCACAGGCATAGCCATCCTCTTCCCTTACTTCAACGAAGTCCTTGGAGTGTTAGGAGCTTTGAACTTTTGGCCATTGACCATATACTTCCCTGTGGAGATGTACTTTGTGCAGAAGAAAATTGGTGCTTGGACCACAAAATGGATTGTTCTTAGATCCTTTAGCTTTATTTGCTTCATTATCAGTGTTCTGGGATTTGTTGGGTCTGTTGAAGGAATCATCAAAGAGAAACTAAGCTCATAGGATGATGGTATGAGGGTCACATTGTTCTCAACAATTTTTTTGAGAAATATATCACACACAAATATATCACACTGAGAAAGAGTGCTTATACCTTGAATAATATCTTGTAAGTCCACTGATATACAGTCTTATGAATTTTCAGTCCAATACACGTAACGAAGATCTTATTTAATTTGTTTGTTTGTTTGTTTTTTCTTTTTTTAGCGATTATAACGCCATTTTATTCATTGTCATGAGCGGAACAGTGTTGATTTGAAAAGTTTCTTAAATAATATGACTGGACGAGAACGGTTTAATCGGAATGAACAGGCAATATTTCTCTACTTAAGTTGGATAGAGTACCACGAATTGAACAAAATTCAAATCCCTGATGTGAATGAGACAATTTGGTTTTAAATAAATGATGAATTGTGACTTGTTTTAGCGTTTGGAAATGTAAATATGCTTTTGTGAATTCTGTATCTGTGTGATGTTATTTGGATATTGTTATAATAACTGAATTTTTTTTTTTTAAATTGACTCTTATCAAATGAATTTTTGACAGCTTTTGACATGAAAAACCAAAGGATCACTAATGCTTTTTCAAAGTTTGTCTCTAAAATTCAAAAGTCTATTATTCTCTCAACGCAACATTTATCTGATTTTACATTTGAAAGCGGGGGTTGGGGCATTAATCAGGGAGTTAAATAGAAAAATTAAACTAAAATATATAAAATTCTTCTATAAACTTTGAGACAACTGCACAAAATCCTTCATTTTTAAAAGTTTAAATTTAACTTCCCTAACCTTTTATTTTTTATTTTTACCATAAACTTTCCTATTGTTAATTTTTTAGTTATCTCATTAACAGAAGTTACCATGTGATATTAAAAAAAAAAAAAAAAGACACGTAACAGTTTATGTTAGAATATTGTTGATCCATATCCCGTAAGCTAATAATAGCTTTATAAAAATGTTATCCATATCCTTGAAATATTGTTGAGTCCTTTTGAATTCTCATGCTTCCGCATAACATTTGTACTCTAGTTTATATTTATAAATATGCTTTATCATGTTGAAAAACCTTTAAAACTTGGGATCATATTTTGATAATGTTACAGCTTGAAAATTTTTATTTAGAGTTAATCTCTTGATTTCTTTAAGATTGAAGTTAACTGAAAAATAGTAAGAGAGACCTTACACATGAGACATGGGATTCAGGAAGATTGAACTCAAATCTGATTCGATTGAAGCTATTGAGTGCTTACGAAATGGGTGCAACTCTCTTCACACAGATGTTGAGGTCATCGCTGAAGCACTATCGATAATTCAACTTGGTTAGAAGGTAAACCAACGCCATGGCCGTCGTCTGATTAATAGTGCTAAGGATTTACTTGCACAATATGGAATTGCAGGCAATGCCCGGATTTACAATATGAATCAGGTCCTCGACGATCTTGCTTGTGTATTGGATTTGGATTTTACTCAGACTACGATCCGTGTGCGTTAAGCTGGTCTGGGCTTCATTTGTTATTAAAAAAAAAATTATCCATATTTTTCTATCATTATTAGTTTATGTCAGATGCCACGTAAGTTGCTACATGTATTTTTTTTCTAATATCATATGGCAATTTTTGTTAGTAAAATAATTAAAAAATAATAATAAAAGAGTTTGTTGTAAGAAAAAAAAGGTTTTAAAGGTGAGAGGTTCCGAAATATGATGCATATATATTGATACACGTATTGGATATGAAACATATATGATATGTTGATACTTTTATTTTAAAAATATATGATATGATACATTTTCGGTATGCGCATATATATATCATAAAAACATTAAAACTATAATTTCAATTCAGAAAATATCAAAATTAGCATAGATATATATTCTTTTATAGTAATATCAAGTAAAACATAATTATTAATGATACTTTTATTTTATCTACACCTAATTGCTTACCACATAATTCCTATTAATAAATACTCCCTTCATTTAAAAATGTAAGGCATTTTTTGAGGAATTATATGTTAAAAAATATAAGACATTTTTAATCTTTTAAGGTGTAATCATTGCTTTTTTTTTTAAAAAGTGCCCCTGTAGATGAATGAATTTATAATTTATTGTAGGGTGTTTAATCGGGATAAATATAAAAAGATATAGTTAGTTTGAAAGTAGGTAACTACTTTATTATGGGTGAGATTTGATTAAAAATGTCATACATTTTTGAACGAAGGGAGTATATAGTATTAATATTTTTTCCTCTTCAACAATCATCTAAAAAAAGATAGTTTATACTCCCTTTGTTAAAAAATATAAAGTATTTTTAATCAAATCTTAACTCCCAATAAAGTAATTATCTACTTTTAAACTAACGTTATCTTTTTATATTTAACCCTATTAAACACTCTACAATAAATATAAAATCATGCATCAATATAATACTTTTGAAAAAAAATAATAATTATATCTCAAAAGATTAAAAATGCTTTACATTTTTTAATGGAGGGAATATATTTGGTTCATTTCACTCTTGGAACCCTACTTGCAACTTGCTTAGGGCTTATAACTTTCTATGATATAAGATTACATTCCCACCTTTTTATAATCAAGAAAAATGTAACCTTTATTCTTTTATTATACGAAAATTTTATTTTTTCTAACAAAATCTAAACTTTGACTTTAACATAAAATTAAAAGAGATATTAATAATAAAAAGTTTAATATTGAAAATTTTAATAAAATTTAATGGGAAAATTTCAACGAGAACTCATTGGCTAAACATAATTTTAGTCAAAGCTCTTAAAATTATGAAATTTCATCGCACATAAGGGAAAATGAAATGAAATTATAGAATTGACTAAAATAATCTTATTATCTCTTATAAAGGTAGGTGCATGAGGAACTCATGTAAAAAAATTAACAATTAATATATAAAAAATAAATAACTGATGTAAGTGAAATTTATAACTTTTATTAACAGTATAATATTAATATAAATATAAATAATTAAAGTTGGGTGTATAAACAACTCGTGTAAAAAAAATAATTAATATATAAAAAATAAATAATTAATATATGTGAAATAAGAGTTGTAAATTTATTACAGTACTATGCTCTGTTTTCAGCCTAATTGTGCGGCCATGCACGGATTTGTGGACGCAAGTTGGGGGTTGCAACTGTGCATGGGAATAAAAAGGCAGTGTTAAATCGGTTGGTGCCTTGCCTTGTTAAGTTTCTGACCAATGAGGATTGGATGGTCATATAATTAAGGTGCAGCGCATGCATTGTAGAATCAGGGAGGGAGTGAGAGGAGGGAGATAAAGGGCCTATTTGATAACTTATTTTAAAAATAATTTTTATTTTTTAAAATAAAAGAATAAAAAAATTTATTTGATAATATATTTTTAAAAAGTATTTTAAAAAATAAAAAAATAAAATATTATTTTAAAGAACAGAAAAATAAAAATAATTTTTATGTATTCTAAAATTATTATTCTAAAAAACAAGTAAGAATAAAAAAAAATTATTTTTATTATTTTTTTATTTTTAAAATATGTTTTATAAAACATTAATTTTCAAAATAATAAAATGAAAAGAGTCTCATACAAACCCAAATATGACATGTAGACAGGAAAGGGCTAAAAACGCATGGAGAGAGAGAATTACATTACACGACCCACCAAACTAATGTTTGTTTAAAATCAAAGATAAAGGTTAAATTATTTTAAATTTAATTGTTTGAAATTTAAAATGTGCCGAATATGAGTTTAAGGTTTAAATCATCCTTAAACTTATAATTTAGGATTTATATTGTCATTTAATCCTTTTAATTCTGGTATTATTTTTAGATTATTTTTACCGAACAAGTTTCTTTTAATTTGTTCTCAAAAATAGTTTTAAAAATTATATTATAAAACAACTTTTAAAACCAAAAAATGAAAACCCATACTAAACAAGCTTCTATTTTCTTTCTTGCTTTCTTGTTTTTCTTTCTTTCATTTTTTTTATTGTTCTTGTGTTTAAGTAACAAGGATTTAAATTTAAATCAAATTTTCTATATTTGGATCCATTGATGGGGTTTTCAACATTAAGTCTACGTATAACCTTCCCTTTGCAGTTATTGGAGGCCACAGTGACAACTTCTAGAAAAACTTATGGAGATGGCAAATCCCTAAAAAAAATGAAGACTTTTTATGACTTCTCACTCATGACAGACTCTATACAGGCGATCTAAGGCAAAAATAGAATAAAAGGTGATGATCTGTGCCCCTTTGGCTGTGGAATGACTGAAACCAATATGGTTGTCATCAAAGATTGCCAACAAGCACAAGAAATCTGGAAATGCTTAATCAAACCGAAATGTTGGCAACCTTTTCTCGGCTTTGGAGGCTCGGATTGGATCAAATGGAATTACAAGTCTAAGCTTGGAAAGTTAAACACAAGAAAGGTACAATGGTTTTCATTATTTTCTTATGTTTGCTGGGAATTATGGACTAATAGATGTAACAAGCTTTTTGGAGAGATTACCAATGGTGCTTCTAGATGTATTTATAAAATAGCAAACAGATAATTCCTTTCGTGAGGTAAGAAACGCTCATATAAATACTATGGGGAATTCTCCTCAAGGTCACAACATAAATGAGGATTGTGTGCTTCTTCATACTGATGGTTTTGTGATGAATTATACTACTTTTGCATGTGGAGGATAAATTATGGATGCTACAGGGAACTGGATTAAAGGATTTAGTTATAATCTGCCCCTCCTTCCCATTGCCATTGCTGAAATTTGTGGCATAACCAAAGGTTTGGAATTATGTTCTCATTTGGGTTGTAAGAATGTGAAAGTGTTTACTGATTGTGTTCCTGCAATAAAATCTAATACTTCAAGATCCTTCTATAAGCAGGATGTCATAAACAGATGTCGTGATTTGCTTTTCTTCACTTGTAACACTTATATAAATTTTATTTATCAACATTTTAATTTGATTGTACTGCTGATAGCTTAGTTAGGCATAGTTTTAATTTTACCCATAAATTTTGTATTTTTGATTGACCCTGTCTTTTATTATTGAATGTGGTGGTTCATGAAAGTTTTTAGTTTGGCTCTGGTCTAGGTTAGTGCTTGGTTTGTATTGTTCATTGTTCTTTTGAATATCTATTTCCCCTTTTGATTTTTTAAAAAATAATCT